GCTTCTCAGGTTGGTTATCCTGCCCCTATCTTCATGCCATCAGTGATGAAGAATTCTGGGTAATTCACAAACTCTCCTAAATAGACCGACTTGGATAGAGAGTAAGCTGCGAAGCATCATCATGATTGATAACTTGTCTTCTCCTTTGGGACCATTAGAATGGTGACAGTCTATTCCAAGTTGGCAAATTAGCAATCTATAATGCAGAACTTCCTCGCTTTTATTTTTCTCTCGACTCCCTGAGCCATATGTCACCCCTTTTCCTTTGCCAAAGTAAGTCCAACATTTCCATCTCATCTCTAGTCAATGCCATGCTGCCTCATTATCAACGCTTCAGTCTTAGAGGCTATTCTGGCAATTCAAGAGAGGATGGGAGAGCCCACCTCATCCTAAGGGGACTGTTAAAAAAGCTACCTGTCCTCTCAGTGACTACAGGTGGCCCAGAGATGCTATTTGCAAGAGGGCTACGTCAGTGGGGGTATTCAAATTATTTTACCACTGGTTCTGTGGGCATGATTTGGTGGGCATGTTGTGGTGTGGTGGGCGTGGTGTGGCTTGGTGGGCATGGTGTGGTGTGGTGGGCGTGGTGTGGCTTGGTGGGCATGGCTTGGTGGGTGTGACAGGGGAAGGATACTGCAAAATCCCCATTCCCTCCCCACCCCACTAACCTGCTTTCCAGCTCCGTTCTCCTGTGCAGGGCAACCAAAGAAAACCCAGCCGATCAGCTGGGACTCTGGAGTCAGAGAATAGATGGGGTTGGTGGAGCCAGTCAGAAGTGGCATTTGCTGGTTCTCTGAACTACTCAAAATTTCCGCTACCGGTTCTCCAGAACTGGTCAGCACCGGTTGAATACCCCCTCTGGGCTACATGCAATTGCCAGCAAGAAGGAACATTCCTCCTAGCTCACTTGGGGAAAGGGGCTGGTGCAAGAGCAGAGTGTGAACAAATGCTGAGGCCCAGTTTGAAACCTGAACCAGCAGAACCGTCCCCCTGGTAGGTTAACGTTTTCATTTGAATTACAGACACAGCTAATACAAGTGCTGATTTAAGTGTCATCTGTGCAAGTGGCCCTTTGGGGGTTGCTTAGTGTATTCCTCTCCCCCTTCCCCTTTGTTTAGTCTTTGGGGATGGGTTGGGGCATGTAGTCTTGGAGTGTGCATATGTCTTGTACAAGAACATTTCTCCCACGTCGTCCTTACACAAGAACATTTGTACTGAAGAAACTTCTTCAAAGTTATCCCTAAAACTGGAGTTCTAGGGGCATTGGTTGGCTAGTCATATTTTGGAAACACAGTTTTTCAGTTGTGATAATCACTATTTTTTATTGGTTTCCATTCTTTTAAGGTATTCATTTCGTGGCTTCCACGTTTAACTGTCGATCAAAACATGCGATATAATGGAATTGCAGCCACCATTTTGACTTCGTTGTGCCCTTCTTAGATGCTTCCAGTACCACGACCAATCCAAAAGCAATTTTTGATATGGTGGACTGTCTTTATGAATGCTAGAACGAGGTTCCAGGACTGAATAGCAAATGACACAGAAAAACAAACTCCAACTTTTAAGGAGAGAAGCAACCTAGAACTAATACTTTTCCTGACAGAACAATTAATCAGTGGAACAACTTGCCTCCAGAAATTGTGAATGCTTCAACACTGGAAGTTTTTAAGAAGAGATTGGATAAGCTGTCTGAAGTGTTGTAGGGTTTCCTGCCTAGGCAGGGGGTTGGATTAGAAGACCTCCAAGATCCCTTCCAACACTGTTTTCTATTCTATTCTATTCTATTCTATTCTATTCTATTCTGTTCTGTTCTGTTCTGTTCTGTTCTGTTCTATTCTATTCTATTCTATTCTATTCTATTCTGTTCTGTTCTGTTCTGTTCTGTTCTGTTCTGTTCTGTTCTGTTCTATTCTATTCTATTCTATTCTGTTCTGTTCTGTTCTGTTCTGTTCTATTCTATTCTATTCTGTTCTGTTCTGTTCTGTTCTATTCTATTCTATTCTATTCTATTCTATTCTATTCTATTCTATTCTATTCTATTCTGTTCTGTTCTGTTCTATCTAGAAATGTTCAGTGTTTGTCCCAGCAGTTGTCATAAACTGAGGACCTCCTGTAAATGTTTCATCATTAATGGTCTAAGGCAGGGGTCTCCAACCTACCCCCAGAATTCCTCAGCCAGCAAAGCTAGCTGAGGAACTCTGGGAGCTGAAGTCTACAAGCCTTAAAGTTGCCAAGGTTGGACACCCCTGGTTTAGAACACCAAACCTTACCGTTATCTTCAGGCCGCCCAAACATGTGCCGATCATCTGCTGTCTTGGCCATCTGAAATTCAGACCTGCATCTCCTCGTGGCAGGAAGTGGTTCTTGCAGAGACTCCCTGGAGCCTGAGAGGTGTTGTGCTTCACCACAAAAAACAGATCGTCTGTTTTTTGCACATGTGTCCCCTGCAGGGAAAATGTCCAGCAACTTAAGCAACTTGTCAAGTGCGGCTTTAAACTTTTGTATCCCAGATGGGATGGGAGGCTGAGCCAACCTTGAGCCTGATGAGATTCGAACTGCCAAATTGCAGGCAGCCGGCAGTCAGTAGAAGTAGCCTGCAGTACTGCACTCTAACCACTGTGCCACCACAGTTCACAATAACAACAACAACGACAATAACCGGTATCAACCATCAGCGCTAGTCAATGATATTTGTGATACAATTTTAAATCTTCAGTTGACTGAGTTTCACGTTTAATGAATAAAAGAGATAATAATACTAATACTAATACTAGTAATAATAGTAATAGTAATAATAATAATAGAATGACGATGGCAAAGGCAAGCAAGAGTAGGACCACTAGTAATAGGCGGCTTGGGTGTAGTCCCAAAACAACTGGAGCACCACTTGAACACCGTCGGCGTTGACAAATTTGCCATCGGTCAATTGCAGAAGGCAGCTTTGCTTGGAAAAGCTTCCATCCTGCGACAATATCCGTTAACACCATCAAACATCCAGATTTGCCTATCCCAGGTCCTTGGTAAGGACTCGATAGGTAGACAAAAGTGTCAAACCCAGTCTGAACATCTTGCTGACTGTGCAATGATGAATAGTAGTAGTAGTAGTAGTAGTAGTCGTCATCTCACCTTTTGCAGTTGGGAAGGCTGGAAAAGGGACATAATGAGTTAAGGGGAAAAAAATAAAGTCATTTTTCTTCCTTAAACCCCCTAAATAAATGTACTTTGAAAAGTGGGGGCTCTTACGCGGACATCTTAGGGAAAACCTAGTGTAGCATTTCAGTTGATGATGGAATCACACAGCTGTCTTCCGTAACTCCAACTCTCCTAGACCCCAGATGATAAGAGAGGATGATTGCGGAACAGAACTGGTTGTAGCATCGATCTCATCGCTGGGCCTGGAAAAGAAACAGGAGTTTGTCAGGACACGGTGGACAAGACAATGGATACTCCAGAATCGCTTTTATTTTGGAATAGAGCTGAAAAAGCTTCTTGGATGGGAAGCGAAACCTCTTCAAAGAAAAACTGGGAAAATCCACTTGCCTCTTGAAAAAAGCGCCTTTGGGACATCTTATTTGGGGAAAGGATTGTTAGCTTCCTGGAGAGGAGAGCTTCAAATAAAGTTCTTGGAGACTTTATTTTAGTGGACTGACAAAAAAAAACAACAAACAGCTAGCATTTTGGTGTGTTCATTTTCAAAGGTTTGATATAGTAACTCCTTACCTTCTTGAAAATAAACCTAACTATGGGACTCAGCATGAATCCTTTTTGCTGGGCTGCATTGTGTAATCACAGTGTGTGATTGCTGGGCTGCATTGAGTGTCGAGAAGACCTCTTAAATGTGAGAGTGGAAACTTATGTTCATTTATTATATTTCAGAGGGTGCCAAACAGAGGTGGTATTCAGCAGGTTCTGACCAGTTCTGGAGAACCAGTAGCGGAAATTTTGAGTAGTTTGGAGAACCAGCAAATCCCACCTCTGACTGGCCCTGTCCCCATCTATTCTCTACCTCTCAAGTCCCATTTGATTGGCTGGGCCTTCTTTGGTTGCCCTGCACAGGAAAATGGAGCTGGAAAGCAGGTTAGTGGGGTGGGGAGGGAATGGGGATTTTACAGTATCCTTCCCCTGCCACGCCCTTGTTTTTTCTTTTTCCTTCTTGTTTCTTGCTTATGGAAAGGTGACAGCCTTTAGTCAAAAAGATTTCTTCATACTCTTTCTCAACATCAAGATGTTCTTTCTTTAGTCTGTTTCTTCACATCCAAAGTCAACCAGGGCAACCTTGCCAAGGTAAGGCAGGTCATAGAATGAAATGATGCAGGATGAAGTCAAGGCAGGATACATGGGTGGAAATAATTGTTTGCTACACGACAGAAAATAATTGTTTGCTATATTCTCCATTTCCCTTAGTACAGGAAAGAGATGAACAGGAGGGAGGTTGAGAAATCTTTTCAATGCCAGAAACCACTTGGTCATCTTGTTGCAACAACACTTGTCTTTTAAAAGCATCTAACAAAAACAGGTGGGAAGTGAAAGGAGGGGAAACCGCCCCCCCCCCCGAAAGCTAAGAAAAAGCACAAGGCCAAAAATCACATTGTCAGCATTTCAAGGAACCAACTCTAAACAAATAAACTCTGAGACACACATTCCCTCAAAGTTCCATTTTATTACAGTTGTCATATTGGCACATCTGGAAAAATCCAAATCTGAGAGTTCCGGGTTTTCCCTTCCCAAAAGAGAAATCAAAGATCCACCCCCTGCACCCACCAGTCCATCACATGGCCCAATCAAATCTTTGTCCCTCTTGGAGACATCCCTCCAGTCACTCCTCTCCAGGTGCAGGCCAACATGTCCTTGACTCTCTGAGAAAATAATGTTGTTGTGTCTAATCTTTTACCTCTCTATGAAATCCCCCCTCCCAATTTCCCAAACACTGAATGTAGCAACACCATCATCATCATATTCTTGGAGGATGCAACAGAAAACACCCAACCTTCCTTGCGTCCTTAAGTCTTCTGATTAAGATTCTCTGATGCTTCTGTCGCAAACGACGTGTCCTCTTCAATGAGGGCCTTGCGGAAAAGTCCCAAGAAGGAAGCTCGGCGGCGAAGGCCCCTGCTCCGGATGTAGCCCACAAAGCCATAGAGCACTGGGTTGATGCAGCTGTGCAAGTATGCCAACGCATTGGAAACCTTGAGCGCAATTCCCCAAAGGGCATTTTTGGTCCAAATGGTGTTCAGCAGCACGAAGACGTGGTGGGGCAGCCAGCAGATGAAGAAAAGGGCGACAATGGCAGCCACCAGGCTGATGGTGCGGTGGCAACCCTTCCAGCGCCGTTCACGAAGCTTGCAAAGCAGAATGGAGTAAGCTGTAGAGATGATGGTGAAGGGCAGGAGGAACCCGCCGAAGAACCTGCTCATTCTCAGGGGCAGTTCGGTCGAGGTTTTGAGAGACTTGTGATAGATGCAACAGGAGGCACCGTTTCTGACTTCGATCGTGCGGACTACCAGGTAAGGGAGGCTGAAGAACAGAGCAAGGGTCCATGCTCCAATGCACATCAGGGTTTGAAAACGAGGACTTTGGTGGTTTCGGGCCCACACAGGCTTTACTACCATCAGACATCGATAAAGGCTGATAACAGTGAGGACAAAGACGCTAGTGAAGGTGGTGAGATAGCGGACAAAGCTGTGGACCTTGCAAAGCGCGAGGCCGAAGGGCCATTGCTGGTACATGATCTCTTGCACAAGGGCAGGGATGCGGCCCATGGAGAATAGGAAGTCGGCCACAGCCAGGTTGAAATAGCAGATGGAGGTGAATGTTTTGTGTTTCTTTCGTGTAACTATGATCCACATGACCAGCCCGTTGCCTGAAATGCCCAAAACCAAGATGATCACATTGGTGACGATCGCGATATGGCGCATGACTTCTTCCACCGCGGTTACATTGCTGAGGCAATAAGAGACGTTCATGGCTGCCTAGAAAGAATAAGACAGTAAGATTCAATGTTGGTTCATATTTTTCTAAGTCTCATTCTTCTTGATGGGGGTGTCAGCGTTCCAATGAAACTCCCCATTTTATTCAGCACTCAGAAACAAAGTTCATCCAAGTAAGAATTTACTGAAGAAATCCTCTGGGAAAACCTGAATCGGAGAGTTCTGGGTTTTCCCTTCATAATTGAAAATCAAAATTCCATCCCCTCCACCCACCACTCCATCACATGGTCCAATCACCCGTTGTTCCTCCAGACCCTCCTCTGCAGCTGCAGGGTAACTTGACTTATAAAAAGAATGTTGTTGAGTCTAATCTAAGAGTGCAGAGAAGAGCAACAAAGAGGATTAGGGGACTGGAGTCTAAGACATATGAAGGTTGCAGGAACTGGGTATGTCTAGTCTAATGAAAAGAAGGACTAGGGGAGACATGATAGCAGGGTTTCAATATATCTTGCCACAAATAAGAGGGAGTCAACTTATTCTCCAAACCACCTGAAGGCAGGACAAGAAGCAACGGGTGGAAACTTATCAAGGAGAGAAGCAACCTAGAACTAGGGAGAAATTTCCTGACAGTCAGAACAATTAATCATTGGAACAACTTGCCTCCAGAAGTTGCAAATGCTCCAATACTGGAAGTTTTTAAAAATATGTTGGATAACCATTTGTCTGAAGTGGTGTAGGGCTTCCTGCCTAGGCAGGGGGTTGGACTAGAAGACCTCAGAGGTCCCTTCCAACTCTGTTATTCTATTCTATTCTATTCTTCCACCTCTCTATGAAATCCCCCCTCCCAAATTCCCAGGCACTAAATGTGGAAGCCTCGAAGCTCCTAAATAAAATATGGCTTCTAAGGCTGACAGGGGGGAGGGCGAAGACAATGTATAGCCCTGTAGTCACAAAGAACCCTCAAAGTTTTTCCTGCAGCCAATTTCCAACTCTGCTACTTATATCTTGGCCCTATACGTCCTCAACGTATAACCATCGGTTTAAGCAAGTGAAGTTACAGTGGCACGGGGGAAAAAAATTGGTCCTCGCCATTGCAACATCTCCACGGTTGCATGATCAAAATTTGGACGCTCGGCAGCCCAGCATGAGTTTACGATAGTGCAGCATCCCAGGGGGTCATGTCATTGCCATTTATGACTTTCCTGGACAGCGTCCAACAAGCAAAGTCAATTGGGGGAAGCCAGATTCACGTCACCATGTGATTCACTTAACAACCTGCAGTGATTCACTTAATAACTGTGATTTTTAAAAAGTCATAAAATCATCTGCAACTCATTTAACAACTGCTGTGCTTAATAGTGAAAATTCTGGTTCCAACTGTGATGGTAAGTTGAGGATTACCTATAAAACTAGACTTTTCATGGACTCAGTTCAGATGAGATCATATATTTGCAGAAAATAGAGAAATAGGACAGAAGCTGTGGGTTTTTTTCCCCGCTGTGTCACAATTATTGTGGTTTAGCCACCAGTCTTCAAGCATGTAGACAGGATGTGGATTCACAGAGAAGTATGAAAGAGCAAATGGGAATCTAACCTGAAGAGGAATCTCAGTAAGAGTTGGGAGAAAAGACCAGCTGAAATTCTTGGGGTGTCATGCCTGGGTTAAGAGACAAATATATGATTAAGTTCTCGCTAATCTCTTCTCTAGGGAATAAAACAGGATGTATCAAATAGTTCTTTCTAATGCAAGTGTTCTGGGAGAACTGTAAGGTAAAGTTAAAGGTTCCCCTCGCACATACGTGCCAGTCGTTTCCTGCTCTAGGGGGCGGTGCTCATCTCCGTTACAAAGCCAAAGAGCCAGCGCTGTTCGAAGACGTCTCCGTAGTCATGTGGCCGGCAGGACTAAACGCCTTCGAAGGCACCTGGAACGCTGTTCCCTTCCCACCAAAGGGGTCCCTGTTTTTCTACTTGCCTTATTACATGCTTTTGAACTGCTAGGTTGGCAGAAGTTAGGACAAGGAATGGGAGCTCACTCCGTTACGTGGCGCTAGGGATTCGAATCGCCGAACTGCTGACCTTTCTAATCGACAAGCTCAGCGTCTTAACCCCTGAGCCATCACATCCCTTAAGGAGAGTAAGTAGAACTGTAGTGGTCTGATATTTATGGACATGGTAGATTTGTGTGATTTGTCCAGACAAGCACATCCAGAGGTACCGTACTAGTTGTAACTTCATAGTAAAATTACATTAACAGAATTGTGCAAGTCTCTCTCTCCCCTTACTTTTACAATCCAAGAAACCAGGAAAGATCTCTTCCGAGACGTTTACTATGCCCCTCTTCCTTCTGCAGGCTCAGCTGGCATTTATCCCACCATTTTCTAATCTGCAACTCTTTGTCCATCTCCCATGGTTCTTCCTGCATACCACTACAAGTGGGGCAGTGTTTCTTAGACTTCTGGATGTTAAAGACATCCACACTTTTGAAGCTTGAAGTTGAGAAACACTGGTAGGGATGAAAGGTGTCCTCTTTTTTTGCTGGGCCGCCCCAGTCAACAAACTGGTTGCAAAGGCAGATCCAAGCTTTCAAAACCTCACTCCGTGGAGGCCTGGCGCTCGGCCCAGTCACGAAATGTTCAGCAGTCGGAAGGGGCTTCTGGTGCATGCATATGGTGTGTGGATCAAAACTTCTTCCCGGCTCTTCTAGAACACCAAAGAGGCCTCAGGAATGAAGCAATGCAGTCGCTTGACATGTAGAACCCAGAAGGCCTTAGGATTTCACCACACAGCTATGAGGGGAAATCTTCCAGGTTTGAAATCCTCAGTGCAAGATACCAGATCTAACTAAATTCAGGCTCTGCTTTTCACATAATTAAAAGCAGACTATTTCTTATTGGCAGCATTTCTCTAATCCTGCAAAGTGGTCTAAAATATCAGCCATTCTCCTCCTCCTCCCTTTTTTAAAATCTCTTCATTTTGGGGATGAAAGTTGATTAAGGAGTTGAAGTTGATGAAAGAGTTGAAGCCAGTGGTGGGATGCTGCCAGTATAATAACTTTGAGTGCGCTGCACACACGTGCACAGCTTTCAAAATTACTTACCTTCAATGTTACTTTGGGGAAGTAACACAGCTGAGGCATGGCAATCTGGATTGTTGGAGCGAGCTGGTTCGAAGCCAGCTCATCATTGGAGCTAGGGGTTCGCCCCGAACCGGTCCAAACTGGCAGAATCCCACCCCTGGTTGAAGGCACTCACTTACTAGAAAAACAGCTTACCCTTTTTCTGAGAGTGGGGATGCCTCAAGATGTAACTTAAGAGCTGCAAAGTTTCAACACTCAAGATTGCCTCAGAGGAGCTGTTTGAAAAAAACATTTTAAGATTGCTTTGCCTTCTCTGGGGTTGGAGAGACATTTTAAGGGGCAAAAGGGGGTAGTTTAAGCCTTGAGAATATTTAAAGCATCCACCCGATCCTTAAAAACCTCAAATCTCCCCCCTCCAAGGAATCTTGTTGGCCCCATTTGGCCCCATTTGGAACCAACAGAATCAAATCTGTTTCCTTCACTAACTTATGGGAAAACCTAAGACCTTCTATATGTCACTTCACGGCAACACTTCCCCTCCCCTCCCCTCAATCCAGCCCTGTTTCCAAACAATGAATCGGGGCATGCCCGTTTACTTTTAACTTTTTCAGATCCTTCTTTCAGGCAAAGAGGAAATGGCAACCACTAGAAGCTCCATTCTTGAATGCTCCGAAATGGGATTATTTAGCTTTAGGGAGAGAAGAAACGAGAGTCTATGAAGAAAGCGGATTTTCGGGGGAATAATCATCAGGGAAAGAAAAGGAGAATGACATTCAAGTGAGATGCGAATGGATATCACACCCTTGCAAAATCTGCCTGATCAGAGAGGACAGTCACAAACAGTAATCTATCCACAACATTAGCAACAATATGCGTTTTAGGTGACCCTCAAGTTATTTAAAAAGGAAAACTCTGGGAGGAACGCGTCTTACTGTTTAGTCTAAGCTCAGTGAGCATGCAGCGAGCATACAGCGGTTCCCAAGGGCTCCTGCTTGAGATTCTGTGGCCGCCTCTCAGCCCCCGCCTTGCTCACCATTTGAAGATTCACCGTGCCTTCCACGGGGAGCTCGTAAGGTGGTTTCACCTAAGAAGGTCTTGAGGTTCTGCTTCTCCGATGCATTCTTAAACGGAAGGGCAGGAAGTCACCGAAGAACCTGATTGCAAGAGGCCTTAGACCGGCCTTTTCCTTTGCAAAATCACAGGCTGCAACCAAGGGAGTGCTCATTTTGCAAGAAGAAAACCCTTGCAAAGATCCAAGGAGAGGCTTTTCTCGGGGACTTTCAGAGATTGGAAGAGGAGCCTGTTGAAATAGGAGCAACTTGGTGGTTGGCTGCGTTTGTGGGGAAAGCAATAGGAGCCGATGCTGCGGTGGTTTAGATGCCAGAGGTTCGGGTGTAAATTGTTACTGAACTTTGGAGCTGGTTGGGTGTTTTGGGACCAGATGCTATTTAAGAGTGCAAGCGATTAGCCCAGCAGTCTTGTGCAGAGCAGGTATTCAGCAGGTAATGACCAGTTCTGGAGAACTGGTAGTGGAAATTTCAAGTAGTTTGGAGAACCAACAAATCCCACCTCTGACTGGAGATTTTACAGTATCCTTCCCCTGCCATGCCCACCAAGCCACGCCCACAGAACCGGTAGTAAAAAAAAATTGAACCCCACCACTGGTCTTGTGAGGAGAAAAGAAAAGAAATGTGATGAGCCAGGGTGGGATACAAAAGCAACAAAGTCACAAAAACAGGTGAAGTCCCTTTAATTCCTTTAACTTGGCTTTAAAGGTCCAATTATCATTGACTGGAGAAAAAACTCCCCTACAAACAGTTGCGAAAAGGAAGAACTTCCGTTCAAACTCAAAATACATATAAATTATAAATAGAAAAAAACAACACAAACCACACTGAAGCAATTAATGAGACAAGGCAGGATAAGGGCTTGAAGACGTCCACAGATATCGAACTACAGACACTGG